ATAAATCCTAACAGTTTACCGTTGCGGGAAACTCATAATCACTTCCTGAAACGTAGATACATATTATTATTATTTCTTCTTTTTAATCAACGTATAACGTATTTCTCCCGCTTTCCTAGCGTGCCTTCGTGGTGTAGTGGTTCTGCACGCTGGGCCGGTATTCCAGTGGTCCATGGTTCGATTCCCCGGCGATGGCGATTGCTCATTTTTCATCTTGCCTGCTTCCAAAAATCCTAATGTCTCTACAAACGTTTAATTCAATCATTTCTGGAGTTAATATACTTTAAATAACGTCTGTTTCCGGAAGTTATTATTACTTATATTATTCAAAAGATGAAGGAATAGTTAAGCTTATGGCTGGTTTTTAAACTGATTATATACTCTTTTGCAAAAAAAATCGAAGCACCGAGAAGGACTTTTGCGATCGTGACGAAATTTGGTATGCAAAAACATCTTGATCGAAGATGCAAATGATCAAAGTTTCAAGGCAAATGAACAGGAATTGCGATCATAGCGCACATTTCTGTTGCGCAATTCGCAAAGTATAAAACCAGTAACAGAGGCGGAAAATTTATCTTTATTTTTTATTGCTGCCATTGTAATTCCGTAAAGAAGCAACTAAAGATGCCGTTACGACGATATCGAAGAACTTACAGACAACTAAACGACTTCGAACGTGGTCGCATTGTAGGGTTGCGTGAAGCTGGGTGGTCATACAGAGAAATAGGCCGCCACCTGCAGCGTACAGACACCGCTGTGCAAAGATGTTGGCAGCAATAGTTGCTACAAGAAAATTACCAACGAAATGAAGGCTCTGGAAAGGAAAAGGAGCACAAATGCGAGGCAAGATAGGATGATTGTTCGCCAGGCCCGAACCTCCCCAACGGTATCATTGTCGACTATTCAACGCACTACAGCCACGTCTATACCTCCCGTGGTACCGTCCACCATCTCACGGCGCTTGTCTGAGGAGGGGTTACGCTTACAGATGCCTTTAAGATGCCATTACCCCACAAAATCGGCGGAGTCGTCTGAAGTGGTGTCGCAGCCGATTATTATAGCTGCTATCAGACTGACATCGTATAGCGTTCAGCGATGAATCCCGCTTCACTCTTGGAGAAGATGACCCCCGTGTTCGTGTCTGGAGAGGACGGGGCCAGCGATCCCAGTCAGCCTTTGCTTACAAAAGATCAGCCTTCTCTGTGTGATGGTGTGGGAGGATACTTTCTTATGACAGCAAGGTCATCTTTAGTCCTCCTCCGTACATCTTTAAGAGCTCAACGATATTTTGATACAATGCTGAAGCCGGAGCCTTAACCTTCATAGGCACGTCATCCTAGAGCCATTTTTCAACCAAGATAATGCCAGGCCACATATCGCTCGCATATCTCTGGATGATACTCTTCCTTAGCCAGCAAGGTCAACAGACCTTTCACCAATCGAACATGTCTGGGATATGGTAGGCGGCCAAATTTTGGCACCACAAAATATCGCAGAATGTGGAGAGACAACTGATGAATGCCTGGCAGATTGTGTCGCAGGATACATTAGGAACCTCTACCAGTCTTTGCCTCAGGACGAATTCAAGCGCGCGTTACCGCCAGTGGCGTTTCGATCCAACTACTAACTTTGAGCAATCAGTTGGGTGATTGTGAGCTGTGAACAGGTACTATGACCTTGATTTTTAATCATTTTATTATCTGTGTATGAGCTATACACAGCTTCAATTTCATCAAAAACAACCACTTCCTTCATGGTGCTTCCATTTTTTTGCAAAAGAGTGTAAATATTCTTTGAGGTCAGTAAAGTCACGCAGTTGCATGCGTGATGAAAATGATTTAACATTGGTTTCATAACGTAAACTTTCAATTTTTCTAAATATATATGTATGTGTGTATGTGTATAATATAAAAAATACGACATACATCGACTCAGTACCCACAACATCAACAAAAGCTACACCATATGAAATCTCCAGAAAAAGCTATCCGTCTTCTCATCGAATACTTCTAATTCCCACCGTATGTGTCAATAAATTCGCTTTATGCGTTAAACACGTACAAAGCCTGCATTAAAGCTTTGCTTTGAAAAATGTCACAGCTTGGAAGAGCTCTAATATTTTGTCATACTGTAACCCAAACGAGATTTACATGTACGTAGGTAGATCCAAAAGTTTTCGGCCTCACATATAAAAAATTCTTCCTTGCAGACATGCAGTAAATGAATAAATTTTAAAGTTTCATTAGTAAAATCGTCTTCTTTCATTTTTGAGTGTTTATTGAATGATATGATGTGCTAGTTTTTTCTGAAATATTTAGAATCCAGTATGATTAAATTTTTGATTTAAATAGGTTTTAATCTCTAAGAAATAACACAACGCTTGGATCGCGTGAATGCTAATACGCCTCCTTATTATTTATAGCGAAAGAATGTATAAAACAATTCTAATATAAGAAATAATAATATAATTCTGTATAGGCTGAGAATCGCTAAAAGATAATTCTCGTGAAGTTCGATCATTACATAAGCAATATTTCCTGGCATTCGGACAGTGGAGTAGCGAGCATAACTGGTGCCCAGGGCAAAAATACCTTATTGGCGCTCCCCCCCAAAAAAAAACTCAGTGATCTGATGAAAATTTTGTTTGGAGATCATTTGGCGACCCTCTGCGAGCGGCGCCCGGGGCATCATACAACCCCTGGCCCCCCTTCGCTACGCCACTGCATTCGAAAATACTGCTCGTGTCTTCGAGGAATTGCTGCGTGGCAGGAGACTAAATGTCAAAGAGATAGCAGAAAACTGGATAAACAACAATTCTACATGAATATCTTCACACTAAACAAAATCTCTGCAAGATAGATACACTCCGACTTCTTTAGCAACTGAAAAACAACTTGCCAATGCAATTCAAAAACAGCAGTGCGGATTTAATTAATTGGCTTTACAGACCATGTTTAGCTGCAAGCGATTATTATCTGTCTTCTGAAAATGAAATCTGACCTTCATAGAAAGAGATTTAGTGATATTGATGGCGTGAAGAGAGTAGGTTAAGGAACGTTTGGAGGACAAACCTGCAGATTACTTTCAAGTGGCACAGATTTTTATCATTAAAAGATGTTAAAAGTGTATAGAGGTGCACAGAGATCATATTGAAAAACGAAACATTTTTTTTGTTTCCTTTAGAAGTCTATCATTTAAATCGACATTTAAAAACATTTAAAATTTAAATAGACCTACGTACACGCAACACCGTTCATTTGATTATTTGATTGTTAATAGTTAAGTAAGTAAGCTTTCGATGCATTCGGTTTATCATTAGCGTAGGGGCTTGCGAATAGGCGCGTCATGGCATGAATGAATATATTAAAACTTAACAGCATTTTTGGAAATTAAATAACAGTTTTAGAGATGATCTAAGCCCCTTTTCCTGTTAAATGCTATTCTCCCGATCAGTCTATATAAGCCGTCCGGTGTCCAGACCTGCTCTCACCTGTGAAATTTTTCCTGCAAGACGAAAGAGAGTTAAAAACAGCATTCTTTAACTATGAATGATAAATTTGTACATTTCAGTGCCTAATCTGCGTATCCTGCTGATGAAGATACTCATAATCAGATCTATGGTCCTGTGTTATAAGTAGGATTGCCAACTCTGTTGAGTCGCAATAAAGGACACTGCAAAATATATTTATATTAATATAATAATTCCTTTTTTATTGTTGCTGTAAATTTTGGATTACAATTTTAGGATTAAGGTGCATGTGAACAAAGTGGGCCCACCAGCGGCCGAGCGGTAAAGTCGCTGAACACTGGTAGTTCGGTCCGAGGTTCGAATCCCGCGAACGGGCTGGCTGCATGGGTGTTTTCGTGGTTTTCCCCATGTGTAACGTGTAAACGAGCCAGTTTCCCTTAGAAAGTCCTCCACGAAGGCCTCCCTCCCCTTAGGCAGATAGCCCTTGTGTGCTTTGCCATAATTAAATACACCACACCACACCACACTACCATGTGAACAAAGAATTTTCAAAGCTTCGAAAATAAATGAAAGAAGTTTTAATACGGTAATTTAGGTAATAATATATTGAACTATTAAACACGAAGGATGCATTATTAGAACAGTCAATAGAATTCAATTTAAAAAATGTAGAAAAACTTAGAAAATACTTAAAACATTCAAAATTAAGCTTTTAATTTTTTAAAATTATGTTTGTTCGAGTTTTTGGCAGACTCGATGAAAAATGCATTGCTTTTATTTTTTCAGAAAATTCTCAGCAACTTTCTTTCAAATTAAAATATATGAACATTTTATTTTTTATAATTTCAACCGAGCATCTATTTCGTTCATTTCTCCATTTAATAGACATAACACTAAAAATTCTTCCACTATATGCTGATGTTGCAGGAAATGAAAACACATACGAAATTATTTTTTAAATATTCATAAATTAATAATTAATCAGCATATTTTAAAATCGTGTGCCATTTTCTTTTTTACATTTTGGATCCTTTTTTTTTTCTTTTTTTTGCGGGGGGGGGGGCGTTTGGAATTAATGTTACTTCTCCAAAAATGTCATTCACATTCAAATCCGGCTTTTATTTTAGCTTCGAATCTTCAGTAATTTAGCAAATTTCTGGTACACTGAAAACAAATTATTAAACAGACTTAGAAATGGCAATTTGCTAAATATAGAATTTTCATCGAAGCGTTCTAAATGCTAATTGATGGAAAAATAATTTAGTCTTTATAAATCTTTGACATCCTGCACTAATTTTTTTTAATGTTGATGAGCCAAAAAAATTAAAAAATTCCTCATCATGTCGAAATTTAAGCTTATTTCTTACGCTGGTCAAAACTTGAAAATATCTACAGGCTGAATATTGACATTAAATGTCACGAGAAGAATAAATATATTTAAATTTACGAGTAACAAACTGCAGACGAAAATTATTATTATTATTTTTTATTTTTTATTTATTTATTTATTATTTTTTTTTTTCAAATTTAGGCTGAATCAAAAGGCGCTACACCGACCGAGTATGGGTTCATATTTGGAATATTCCAGCTTACAATATTCGTCGTAGCACCTATGATGGGTAAAATAGTAAGTATCATTTATTTCTGTACACAATTAATACCCTTCACTGAATTTAAATGGCTGGAAATTATTCTGAGCTTTCGATCGAACATAAATGAAACTGGCTTCCATTCCTTCCAGTGCATATTTGGAGCACAGTTCAAGGCGCATCTCACTTAAAAGTGGAAAACTAGTTTATACCTAAAAATATAGTTTATACCTATATAATTTAAAAATATAGCTGTATATACCTCTGTGCCGAATTAAGAATCACTTGTATTACACAGAATTAAATTTTCAGATTAACCCAAAGTGGTTAAAAACGGTTATTGCTCAGGTTAATATTTCTATCAAACGGAATCTTTCTATGTTATTGCTTTTGTGGCGCAACTCATTTGACAAAAGTAATCAAAAATCGAATTCTACTGTCTTATAATATGCTATTTGAGATTGTAAAAGAAAATCTTAATCTCAGTTTAAATTAATAAAATTGCAGCTGAAATATGAAAAGAATAAATATGTATTGATACGTTTAAATATTAAATACAAGCCAAAAGGTATTCGAATTACATTAAAAAATTGTCCAATTAAGATTAAAAGGTAGCAATTTAAAGTGACTAAAATTAAATATATTGTATGCATGGAAATTAACCTAAACGTTAATTTCGGAGCTACAGCTTCATGTCATTGTGTCATTACAACATTCATATTAATCTCTCAAATCCGATTGTGAAAGTTCAGAACAAATAAGCAGGATAGTTTGAATTATCTATATTTGTTCTGAGTATGTATATTATTCTGATTATATTCTATTATCTATATATTTATTCTATTCTATTATATATTTATTCTGAGTGATAAAAGTATGAATGATTCCTCGGAAGAAATTATGAACATTTTGGGAGAGCTATCCTATCATAGTGGCATCGGAGCCTCTATAAAAACAGTCGATTGTTCAAAGCGTAAAATTTCCAAACGTTTTCTCAACATAAAATCTCCGGCATCTTCTTGAAGGTCAGTTTTCAACTTGAGAAAGTAAACTTTATAAATATGCAGCCTTCATTATTCAAGTAAGAGATTAGTTTGCTGTATTAATTAATTAATACCTATTCGATTCTGTAGTGAAGTGTCTGGTGCCCCATGCACTTTTAGCTGTTTAACTTTTACCTTTTACCTGTCTAATTAATTTATTAAAACAGGGGAGCTGAAAGAAAATCGCGGAACCTTTGTGTAAAATCAATTTACTCGCATAAGTGTTAGACTTGCACAACGGTCTCGGCACCGTTATGAAAAGCATTGAACTTAAATAAAGAACACTAATATTAACTTTCTAAAGTAACAAGTTTTGATAACTTAAGTCTTCAGAACAAAATGTTTGATTCGAAACTAATCAAATCCAGTATTTCTCAAGTTTCGCCCTTCCATTTTTTCCTTGCTAACGCTGAGAAATCATTTATTCCTCTCTCAACCTCTCATAAAATAAACTAGAAGGTAATTTAGGAATACTATTAGCTATAAACTGCAGTATTTATATAAGGAGTAGTACAAATGAACAGAATTTAAGCTTAAATAGTTTTTTTTTTTTTTTTTTTTTTTTTTTTTCAATTTCGTTTAAAATTAGCTACGCATTAATGTTATTTTTTTTATCGACTATTTAAACTGATTAAATATTTTTCCAACTGAAAACATTGCTTCTGCTCCTGTTAAAATAAACATAATTTAACTTAAAGAAATACATTCATTTAAATTGGAATTAACTATGAAGACTGTATTAATTTTTTTTTTACGAAGTTCGTTTTGATCTAGGCTCCTACTTCTATTTTACTGCCAAATAAATATCAACGTCATTTATAGAAATAGGAATATCTCTTACATCACACTGATCTATTGGCACCTCTGATGATACATTTGAAGATCATCAGTGACCCGTGAACGCAGAAAACAGAGATTTAGAAATGCTGCGTCGTCGATTTACAAGGAAATCCCGTTGCTTCAGCAAAAAGCAATGACTATGACGTCACAGTTTTCACGTGCTCCTCGCAAAACTAGAATTTTAGGTTAGTTGTGAGAGGTTGCGTAAAAAGAGATGAAAAATAATATTATTGATCTCTAATTTTATTCCAAGAAGGTCATGAGCCCTAATCTTTAGCAAGTACTTTGATGCTTATCTTTATGAGCATCAGAAAAATGTCGATTTGATTTACTTTTATTTATTATGTTCCTTGCACATACATGCTCTTCGTATTTTAGTTTATTTGCTTATTTATTTAAACCTGATAACAGCAGAAAGCAGTAATTTCACGTAAGACGCAACTGCTTCTGTCCTTCATAATGAAACCAGTTTTTCCTTTTTTTCTTCTTTCTCTTTCATGTTTAAATTTCACTTTTTCTTTGATAAAGTTAAAAAAAAAAAGAATGCATATGTTGATCAATCAATGTATTGACTGCGTAAGACTGAAGATTAAATTTGATATGTTATTTTGAAAACTGGTGCAAGGACAATTACGAAGCAATACTTACTCAGATTACATACACAAACACTGAGTTCTCAATAAATAATTGCCTGTTTTTTTTTCACGTATCGCAGGTGAATGGGGATAATTGTTTTAAGATGTGGTTTAAATTTTACTGTTTTGTTCAGTCGAGATTGTCTCTGATTTAGTATTTCACAGTATCTGTTAAATAAACTTGCAAGTTATTTGGAAATTTATGTCTAGAAATGTACAACAGTTTCTAAAGTCTTCAGTATTAAAGATATGACAGTTCTTCTGTATTAAAGAAATGACCTTAAATAAATTAAATTACTATTACTTCCTGGTACTGAAGGTATAACAGCGAAAGTCGTGATGAATAGAAAAGTCGAGTAAACCGGGTCAAAACTAAAAGTCAACAGATCAGGATGTCCCAAATAGCTTCCTGTAGGGAACATCTCTAAAGGTCTGACATTTTGAATTTTGTAGAATAAAATACTTTTGAGGTATGTTATTTCGAAATATAAATGTTTTATATTTTTATAAAGTTCTACAAATTTTCAGATTACTGTCTAAGTGAATGCAAGTTAACTCTGTTATTGCCTCTGAACAGCGAGTTTGGACTTAAGCAAAAATTAATATTTTTTAGCCATGCTTCAATAACAACTTAAATAACTGTGACTTAAATTCTAAAATGTTTGTACATTCTTAAATTAAAAGCGAAAAATTCAGCTTAAATAGGCCTGCAGTTTATAGCGACGGAACATTCGATGGTTATTGCATCAGAGCAGCTTGTTGTATAATATTAGATACATTAACAAAATTCATTACCCATGCAAACCTGAAATATCCTACTTTACTAAACTGTAATGTTAATTTATCTCAAATTTATCACTGAAGCAACAGATTCGATCTTAGACATATGGAAGTACGCCCACTCCAGATTATCTGGTGGCGTATTTAATCAGATGACGGATTAACAAGTCCTATATTAAAAAACAAACAAAACGAAACAAAAAGAACGCTTCATCTGAACTCCAAGTATGTATGTTTCATATCAAGGCAAATATTTTTCGTATTACTTCATCCTCTTCGTGTCTGTATCATTTCAGATAGACTGTAGCAGGTTCGTAATATTCCCAGGTTTTGATATCTGTCAATGATTAAGACACAATAACACGCCGAATAAATACTAATTCAGAAGTCAAACAACAAAAATCAGCGTTATATTTACAAAATTTTCACAGGACTAGTTTCGATGGTTTTACCGAACCACCATCCTCAGCTGCAAAACCGCAAATGAACAAGATAGGAAATAATGATTAGATAAGATAAGAAAGACTGGATAAGAACGCCTGGACGGAGAATGCAGTTAAACCGTCATAAAAACACCCTTGCAGTTAAATTCGAAAAACTTCTTTTACAATCTTCCAGTTCAAGTAGTTCAAAAAATCTTCCCATTGTAAACATCAAGCCAATAGTTAATATTTCTAATGTTAGTCTTTCAGAAGAACAAGAGAGAATTCTAAAATATAATTTTAACTTCTCATAAACCTGTAAACCCTCGATTCCAAAGATTTTGGCTCCTATCGAAAAAGCTTTCAAGTTCAGTAAAGTTTCAGATTCACAGAAAGAAATGATTAGGCATCTTATCGCTCATAATATGAAATTCAATAATAAACCTTTGAAACCAAATCTAACTGCGAGAGAAAGAGCTACATTGCGTGAAATTCATTCTAACCCGGATATTATTATTTCAAAGGCCGACAAAGGTGGCCAGATAGTCGTCATGGATAGGAACACTTACATTGATGGTGTCACTAAACTCTTAAACAAGGACCATATAATCCGATCCCTAAAGATCCTTCACCTTCGGACTTGTCAAAAATAAAACTGCGATCAAATCTTCGCAATCATTTCAAGCAACTTAAAACATTCGCTTATCCCATCTGTTGCGAATTGTGCCAGATTATATGCTCTTCCCAAAATTCATATAAAGTGGTATTCCTTTCCGCCCTATTGTATCAAATTTAGGTACTACCTCGTATCCATTAGCTAAATATTTAGTTTCTAGATTTTCAACTCTATTAGACAATAACATTTACACCATAAAAATTCAATAGAGTTTGTAAAAAAGGTTAAAAAACATTTCTCCTAGTAATTTACTCATGGTTTCTTTTGATGTAAAATCATTATTCACCAATGTCCCAGTGGAGGGTGCATTAAGATGTCTAGAAACCAGACTTCGCGAATTTCATTTCTCTTGCATCGAAATTGATGAGCTAATTTCTCTCACTCAACTCTGTTTGAAACAAACACATTTTGTTTTCCAAAATAAATATTACAAGCAAACTGAGGGATTAGCCATGGGAAGCCCCCTCAGTCCCATCCTGGCTGATATCTACATGCATTATTATAAATCAAAATTGTTTGAAACTTCAAACTTCCCGGCATGGTTCCGCTACGTAGACGACACTTTTACTCTGTTTGAAGGTAATAAAGATGATTTAAATAAAGTTCTTTCAACAATGAACTCTATTGATCCTGCTATTCAGT